ACAATATTAATTTGTTATTGCGGTTGACGTATCTCGGACGCACGTGGTGATAGCGCGCTAACGACATAGTCTACTTCGTCAGACCCCTTTTTTTGCAGGAATTAAATTATTTGCGACTTGAACTAAAGGTACTATGTCCCTTTTACAGGCCAAAAAAATGAAAAGTTTTTTTTTTTATCCCGACGGCATTTAAAAGATAATACTAATTTAGAACTTTCTTAAATAAAAGGGGGTTTGAAAATGTCTTTAAGTGGGAAAATAACGACTGTTGACAAATCGACTTAAAGGGATCGTTTAACAATGTGAACTATGAGATACATGGCCCTACGCAGGCGCGTACGCAGGCTACGCAGGGGGGGGGTTTGGGGGGTTAAACCCCCCCCCTTGGTAATTTTTTGTGTGTAAACCCCCCCCCCCCAAAACCCCTAACCCCCCCCCCCCCCCCCCCCCCCCTTTTGGATTTTTTTTTTTTTTTTTTTTTTTAAATTATTTATTTAAAAAAAAAAAAAAAAAAAAGTTATTCCCATGACCGACCTAAAAAAGGTGACCTTACCCCCCCCCCAACGGGTCAAAATGTCAAATTTCAAATTTCGAGACCAAAAAAAAAAAAAAAGTGTCCTCTTACCCCCCCCCCCCCCCCCCCCCCACCCCGCTTATTCAGCGGTCGGCTGAGTCGTTGCGATATTTTTGGACCCAAAAAAAAAAAAAAAATGTGTCCTCTTACCCCCCCCCCCCCCCCCCCCCCCCCCCCCCCCCCCCGCTTATTCAGCGGCTGGCTGAGTCGTTGCGAAATTTTTGGACCGATTTATAAATGTTAAACCCCCCCTTGAAAAAATCCTGCGTACGCGCCTGGCCCTACGTGTTATCATTGTCTTTGAAATGGTGTAATATTGAGGCCCAAATAAAAAATGCGCTTTAAAATAATCAAGAAGTGCCTAAAAAAGTCTTTAAGTGACCGGTTTTACCATACTCGTTTCCCACATAGGGTGCGTTTATTGACCAAACTTTTGCCTAAAATCAGGTTTCTCAAACGTCTTTCAGGCAAATTTTGAAGGTGATAAACGGAAAGCCTTTTTTAATCGTCTTTAGATATTGGCATATCTAAAGACGCAAAAAGGTGTGTTTTGAATGTGACATACAGCCAGAATCACGTTTCTGAGAGATGATAAACGCAAAGCTGTTTTGAACCCGTTTATGGTTGCGTTTATCGTGTCTTGCCAGTAGGTTTGTACATATTGAACCCCACTATACGAAAGTGATTTGCGGGATGTCGCGTTTATCGTCTCTTCATGATTCAAAATAAAGGCCTTGTGTCTGCGCAGCTGTTTTGTGCCGTTTGACCCGGGAAGCAGACAGTTTCTCGGAGGTCAACTACACACACACACATGCTTGTACACAACACATGGCGCGCGCTAGCCTCCGAACCGGAAATTAACCTGGGAAGGTCCGATTTGTATGTGGGGTTCAAAACAGCTTTGCGTTTATCATCTCTCAGAAACGTGATTCTGGCTGTATGTCACATTAAAAACACACCTTTTTGCGTCTTTAGGGTGCGTTCAAGCGATTTTTCAAAGCTAGAATCACAAACATGAATCATAAATCAAAACGACGTTACAAAACAAGGTCACTGCGGGAAAGCGTTCAACCGATTTTCCATTAACGCTGATTCTAGCTCATTTCGAGCCCAGCCACTGCGCATCACACTGCGCAGTTTGACCCAGGAAGTAAAGGTCAATTTCGGCGCGCGCTTTGGAATTATTTACGACCGACTGTCGACTACTGTTTTGAGCATGGATCGCAATAATAAAACAAAGAATGAGAAGGTGATAGAAGGAAGAAGCAAAGAATAACATAAGGAAAGGCAGAAAGTGAAAGTGATAGAATGATTAAAACAAAGAATAACATAAGAGAAAGTGATAGAAGGAAGAAACAAAGGATACCATAAGGAAAGACAGAAAGAGAAAGTGATAGAATGATTAAAACAAAGAATTATGTAAGAAAAGGTGGTAGAAGGAAAAAACAAAGAATAAAATAAGAGAAAGTGATAGAATTATAAAAACAAAGAATAACATAAGAGAAGGTGATAGAAGGAAAAAACAAAGAATAACATAGGAATAGAAGGAAGAAACAAAGAATAACATAAGGAAAGACAGAAAGAGAAAAAGATTGAAGGAAAACAAGCATAATAGTGAACGCAAATTGCATGAAAAGCAGGCGCGCGGTTTTTGCCAAAACCGGAACAGGCCACGATAATGACGCCATAGAATCAGGATTGTGATCTCCGTTCGTTCAATCGAATTTTAGCGACCGTGATTCTGCAGAATCATGATAGAAAACGCATCTTTTTCAGCATTTCATGTTTGTGTTTTTAAAAACGTTTATTTTTACGACCGACGACAAAATCGCTTGAACGAAACATGTTTTCAACTAAACGTCTTTAAAAATCGTGATTCTAGGGTGAAAAAGTGTCGATTGAACGCACCCTTAGATATGCCCATATCTAAAGACGTTTAAAAAAGGCTTTGCGTTTATCACCTTCAAAATTTGCCTGAAAGACGTTTTAGAAACCTGATTCTAGTCAAAAAGTTGGTCAATAAACGCACCCTAAAGGTCTATAATTATCATTGCAGCATGAGCTAAATCCAGAATTTTGTTTCAGAATCTGAGACAAAGTTACCGGATCCCTTTAAGAGCTATAGAGCCAGTAAGTAATAGTCTGATTTCAAACCATTGTACCGAATGGTCGTATGTTTTATGCTGCGCAAAGATTTAATCAGTTTAATTTGGGCCATTACAAGAAGTGGGTATTGATTTAGACAAATGCTCATACACCCTTTACAACTCATTTTATGTATGTTTTTTACCAAAAAAGAAAAAAAGCCAGTCAGTCCCTCGATAGTGTCTGACAGTGAAGTCTAGCAAGTATTAAGCGGGTTTCCTTGCATAATTTGATTAATAGGACACTGCTAACGTTTAAATTTCACAGAAAGGACATACATGACATATTCATAATCCCTGCAAAGTTCTACAGAATTTGATATTGGCTGCAAAAGGGACATAGTATCTTTAAGTCTAATTCTCGCTGACAAACATTTAATTAGGCCTACATGTGTAATTAAAAAAGAAATGGAAAGCTTTCGTAATGTTCACTAAAACATCAGCGCCATGTGAATGTGTCGTCCCGTCACAAAATCGATCCCAACTATTGATTTGTCACAAAAGCAAATTCCCATGGTGATATTGTGACTAAATCAATATAACGCAGTGATTTTGTCACGCAATATCACGGTGTGATCTTTTCAACGTAATCCCGAGATTGATTTTGTTCGCAGAACCACATGCACCTCAGCACCTGCATGTGAATGAGTTTGATAACGGAATCAAACCCGCGGGTGATCTGTGATATTCACTGAACATTCATTGTTAGGCCTTATGTTTTGTTTGTGTTTATTTTCGAAATTCATTTTTTCATTCAAGTTTTAAAAACATACATATAAAACACATTTCAAATGATAATATGGTCCTGTTCTTCCATTGGGTCCAAAAGCAAAAAACAAACAAACTGCTTTACAAATAATATCAATTTTCAATCATAGTAATTTACCAAAGCACTATCCTCCTTATCGATCCCCCTCTCCTCACCACCCCAACCTCCCGCCACCCTCTCGATCCCGTCAACTCCTCCCGCTGCCCCATTCCCATTCCCAAGCCTGCAGGGTATTTACAATCGTAAATGGGTATTATTATTCTCCTAACACATATTTCTCTCTCATGATTTCAAACTAACTTTTTATTTCTTTATTAAATATAACCAAACTTCTTAAGATTAATTGAAAGCAAATAACTTTGGATATTGATTTATGAAAGTTTCATCAAAATCTAACATAAGAAAGCTTTGATTTTGGAATGTGACGAGGAGCAGTGGGTTATGTCGAATATGAAGCAATAATCCATTGAAAAATTTATTTCCGCGATATATACAGAAATGTATGCTTACAATATTATACTGCTTTCAAACTGGCTTCTATCGGAGTCACACCGATGAAAATACCGATTGAATTTTCCTTAAGTAAACGAAGGTGAAATTCTCTCGCTGTGGCGAGCCCATGCCGGAAGTGAAGAATTATTGCGTAATTATTAAGCCCGCGCTCCATCTAGCTAGCATGCAGCATGTTCAACCATAAGTCAACGAACAAAGCTGGTTACGAAAAAGCGCGCGTACACCGCGACCTTTGACTATTTTAATCGCTGTTTTAATCGCCTTTTTCTTCCGAACGCTTTCATACTGGCCGTTTCATCGGTGTCACACCGATTTCTACTGCTCTTGAGGAGGAGAATTTAATCGCCTATTTCTCTTCTTTTCATCGGCTATTTAATCGCCCTTTTCTCCTCTGTTGCTTTCATACTTGCCGTTTCATCGGATGCGTCCGGATGCATCCGATGAAAATCAGTGCAGTTAGAAAAGGGTATTGTTCTGTGTTTTCGGTTTGGGCAAAAAGTAATTAAAACAAATTATCTTTAGAGTTATGAGACCCTCTTAATAGTAAAGTGCCGTTCTCTCTTTTTATGGAAACAGGCAACTTTAAATCTTAGTTTACTAATAATTTTTGGAGTTTGGTAAACGGCCTTTCGCCCACAAAGTTATATTTAAATTTTACTTGGGCCTATTTCTTGCATTATTTTGTTCGCAATGTATCGTATACGTAATAGAGAGAAAGAGAGAGAGAGAGAGAGAGAGGGGGGGGGGGGGAAGACTACGTTTACCGACTGCTACAGAAGAATAGAAGAGGGTGGGTGCAATTTGCTCTTTGTAACTAGGCTTAAAGCCCGTCTGTACTAGTTTGGCCAGGGGATAAGATTACCCGGGGTGGTCACTGACAGACAGGTGGCTATCTCACCAACTCAGATCTCAATTAACATACAAGTAAAGAGGATCATGGGGGACCAATGGTCACCGATTAGGCTTTGCTTTCTATATAGAGGGAGCAAGTAGCTACAAGTATAGTACAGTGTGGCTTTAAAGGATGCTCATTCTGATGTAATGGAAGAGATTATCAATGTCATCCTTGACCTACCTTGACCTAAGCCTTCCGCACCATCTGGGAGTTGTGTGATGGCTTCTGCTTCATGACCTCAAGCCAGATCTTCCTATCTTGTGACGTACTGGTCGCTTCTGCGAGGGATCCCAGACATCTAGTAGTACAATCGGCCTTTACACAATCAAGCCATTTCTTGGCTAGTCTGCCCCGGGGACTATCACCATGAATATTAGAAGTTAAGAGTATATTTGGGTATCGTGATGGTCTCATCCTGTTGACATGGCCAAAGAATCGCAGTCGTTTTTTGGCTATCTTGTCCAGAATGGTTTCATCCAGTTTTAGAGTCTTCCGAATTGTTGTGTTTCTTATTTTATCTAGTCTAGTTACACCCAAGATTTTACGGAGGCAGATCATTTCGAAGGTAAGGTGCCTGTTCTCATCTTCTTTTTTCAGTGTCCATGTTTCTGATCCATACATAAGGATGGATAGGATGAGTACCTAATATAGTTCAAGTTTTGTGACATCTCTAATGTCATCACTACAGATAAACCATATTACACCCTCTCTGTCTCCAATGACCTGAGAACGAATATTACGCAATTCTCAATAGACAACATTATGTTACATTACAATGTATTGATTTACATCTCGGTTCAATTAAAGACAGATCTTCAACATGCCGCGTACCAACTTTCGATGTTAAACCAAATTTCGAAAACAAATGCCTAAACCAAGCGCAGGATTTAAAATGTTAGTATAATAATGTTCTTCCTATGTTCATGTCGTAACCATTTATGTGTTTTACCAGGGTGGTGTGAGTTTAAACTCGCACTTCCCTGGTTTTACCATTTCAATCTATACCGCCCGTAATTCGGGTTTGTGACATGCCTATTTTCATTTTGGGGCAAGTGACCCAAAACCGGGATTTGACCTTTCTGCGCTTCACCCTTTTTTCTTGGTGTAGTTTAGCCTGTATGGAAGGTCGACCATGCACAGGTCAGCGTTAAAGATATTGGGTAACTTTGCATCAGATTCTAAACAAAATCCTGGAATTAGCTCATGCTGCAATCATAACCTTTAGGTCAGTCAGGAATCTCGTGACCTTTACAAGCCGATCGTCTGTCTGCATGATTATCAAGAAATTTATGATTGGAAATCGTAATTTCAAAAACCGTTTCCGTAACGGTTTTTAATACATTACAGTCTACTGGGGGAAATGAGTATGGTAAAACCGGTAAATCAAAGATGTTTTACTTTGTTGAGGCACTTCATGATCAATTAAAGCGCTTTAAAAAAAAGGGCTTCAATATTTGGCCTACACCAGATCACAGACACTGATAACACGTAGGGCCATTCATCTTAGATTTGTAAAACTGGAAACATTGTTAAACGATGACTTTAATATCGTTTGTACCTCGCAAAAGAAGGCGATAATGGGCATTTGCCTGATTTATATAATTCCATGCATGCCCTATGGTCCTCTTAACTTGGGTGTGGGGGGGGGGGGTACAGTAAGTTGGACGGTTGGACTGAATGATCCTGGCAACAACCGTCCAACTTACTGTACCCCCCCCCCCCCACACACACACACACACACACACCGAAGTTCAGAGGATGTCGCATGCTCTGTTTATTCGTGATCTTTTGAGCGTTATGTAGGCCTATGTTTAGTTTCCTGGAAAGGAAGTTGTTCGTTGGATATTTTGGCGTTCCGTCATATAATTCGACCCTCGTGTCGTTCAAATAGTAAGGTTAGTCTGGGAGCTAGTAGTCTAGTGTTATAGCCTAATATAAACTTGCTTGATAACTGGAGATCATGTACTGGTCAACTACGGAGGATGTGTCCCGACCGGGCCAACCCTGTTAAAAAGGAAGGTGGTCGATGAACCTTTTGTAATCACGAATAAGCCGCGCCTAGGCTGCTATAATGACTGTATCTTTTAGGGCGTCAATGTCCCTTTTATTACGTAATAGCATATTAGGCCTACACACTACAATGAATGCCACTTAACGTATTCGAAATCCCACGCGGATTATATGCCTTGGCCTATTGTTGAAATGTTTTTATAATGCACCACTGCACCACTGATCATCGGCGAACTATTAGTAATCGAGGATACGGACCAATGTCTGCCTTGCACTGCATGCCCTCAACGCGTGATCGGAACTTTCCGCAATCCCTCGAGGTTTTGTTGCTGGCACTCCTGGCAGTGATCATGACTGTGCCAAAAGCAAACGACCTGTACTGTTGAGCCGAGTCGAGTGAGAAGTGCGCGTAGAGCTGAACATTATATTAATTATGAAGACATCGCGTTGAACAGCGCGTTGCTTCATTAAAATTAAAATGGGCTTGATATGTTATCATTTAGGCCCATATTATTGTCACTCGAATTGTTTTAATCAAATCGCTGGTAATTAAGGCTCACTTGACTCGTATCTGTAATAAATGATTGTACGATACTAGCCATTAATGAAATTGCCATACAAACAGCAGAACTTTTTAAAGAAAGTATTATTCTTTTAAATGCGGCCCCACGGTATGTAGACTTAAATATACAGACACTTCAACAGTATTGAAGACGAAGTGGAACATGTTATATTGGATGATAAGCTTCTTATTCATTAGACTACTTTAATCATATATCAAGCCCCAATCTCATATTCCAGGCGATAGCAAACGCGTTACCTGCCATAGATTAAACTGCATTTATATGAGTACGGTTCAGGGCAGACATTATCCCTTTCCTTGTTTGTCCAAGGCAAGCGCAGCGTCGCTGGGTGCGCCGCTTATTAGTCATCGCGCTCTCAAAATTCTGCTAATAACTGGGGGGGGGGGGGGGGGGGGGGGGGTAACCTATTGCCTTAAAGGTACTATGTCACATTTTCAACAAAAAAAATGAAAAGGTTAAATTCCAACGGCATTTGAAAGACAATACTATTGTAGAAATTTCCTCCAAAGGAAAGGGCTTGCAAATGGGTTTAAGTGGGAAAATAACGACCATTAGTCGTCGAATCGACTTAGGTGATTGCAAGTTATAGTCTGATTTTCAAACCCTTTTACTGAATGGTCGTACGTTTTGTGCTGCATAAAGATTCGATCAGTTTTATTTGGCCATAACAAGTATTTTATTAGGCCTATTGATGTATACAAATGCTCATGCACCTGTTACAGCTCATTTTTATTACCAAAGGAATACAAATGTCGGCCAGTCACTCAATAGTGTCTGACAGGGAAGTCTAGAACGTAAACGGGTTTCCTTGCATAATTTGAATAGTAAGGCACTGCTAATGTTTAAATATCACATATAGGAGATAGGAGATAGGACATAGGCCTACAGGACGTATTCATCATTCTTGCAAAGCTCTACAGATGTATTAGTTTGATGTTGGCTGCAAAAGGGACATAGTATCTTGAAGTATTATCGCGTATTTTAGAAGCCCCCTCAATATCCCCGGAAAGTGATGACGTTTTCAGCAATAAACCCGAGGATCTACCCTGCTTCGAGTCATTAGGGACTTTTAGAATTGGGACTTTTAGATTTGCGTGGACTGAAACGTGTGACGTCCATTCAAGGCAGTGCATTAAAAGGACGTCGACCGTAGCAATCCCCATCGTATTCGTGCGAATCTAAAAGTCCCTATTGAGTGGACGAGAACACGACGAACGCCGACTGATCATGCGTGTCAATGTACTCAACTGCCCATGTTGACTACAATTAGAAATCTTAGATTGCACTCGGCGATAAACATGCATGCAGGAAGTAACGCTATGAACTATTATGACGGACAAAAGAACATCCCTTCACTTCTATTATGTAAAAATGTGTAGAACAGGTGGAGCATGTGACACATGTTCTACACATTGGATGTCATAAACCAGGGGCGTAAATCCCGGGGGGATGGGGGGGGGGGGGCTGCATCCCCCCTGGCTTGAAGTAGGGGGGATGGCCTGTACAATCATCCCCCCTGATATTACCACAAAAAAAGAGAGAAAAAAAAAGGAAGAAGAAGAAGAAAAAAATGTGATTGTTTCAATTTCAGCATAATGCATGAGAAATGAGTTATTTTTTTAAATGTATGTATAACTGTATTGCCTACACGTATACAGTATGTCACGATCATTAAGAGTAGTTGCGCGACGTGCGCGAACAAGCACTTCATAAACTTCAGAATAATTTTTCGTTATTTTGCAAGGTATAAAAGTGCAATCATGTACAGTAGATGCCCGGCTCCCCCCCCCCCACACTTAGTGTTATTTAGGGTACGCGTACGCTCGTTCCCTCCCTTTGAAAGCACACCCCCCCCCCCACCCTATCTCAGGACTGCCAACATTTCTGAATCCCCCTTTCGCCGGCTTTTCGCTGGCTTTTCCTACCTTGGAACCCCCCCCAATCCGGAACACTGCTAAATGTACTACACCCCCCCCCCCAATTTCAGGTGAGCTCTAGTCGATCGAGGGGGACTGGGGGCCAATGCTTTTATTTTTCAAAATGAAATAATCCTGAATGAGCTTTCAAAGCTAGTAGGAATTTCAACATTTGATCCCGGGATTTGATCAATTTTTGTATTATATTCATTATTTTATAACCTCCTTTTTACATTTCTCAGGAGTCCAAAGAGAGAGAGAAAAAAACCACCCCCTTTTTAAAGAAATTAAGAGTCGAGAATGGTACAACGAATCGTCTTCTTTCCCTAATGATTTAATGAAACGTAAAAGCTTCCGCGCTTCGCGCGGGCGAGGAGGGGGAACTGAATTCAGACGAGGATTAGGAGTCGAGAACGGAACAACGAATCGTCTTCTTTCTCTAATGATTTAATGAAACGTAAAAGCTTCCGCGCTCCGCGCGGGAGGAGGTGGGGGGGGGGGGGACTGAATTCAGACGAGGATTAAGAGTCGAGAACGGCACAACGAATCGTCTTCTTTTTCCAATGATTTAATGAAACGAAAAAGCTTCCGCGCTTCGCACAGGAGGAGGGAAGAGAAAAACTGAATTCAGATGAGGATTAAAAGTCGAGAACGGTACAACGAATCGTCTTCTTTCTCTAATGATTTAATGAAACGTAAAAGCTTCCGCGCTTCGCGCAGGAGGAGGGAAGAGAAAAACTGAATTCAGATGAGGATTATTTTCGATAACGGTACAACGAATCGTCTTCTTTCTCTAATGATTTAATGAAACGTAAAAGCTTCCGCGCTCCGCGCAGGAGGGGGGGGGGGGGGAACTGAATTCAGACGAGGATTATTTTCGAGAACGGTACAACGAATCGTCTTCTTTCTCTAATATTGTTTGTTGTTTGTTCGTTTGTGTGTGTGCGGGTGTGTGTGTGCGTTTGTGTGTGCGTGCGTGTGTGTGTGTGTGTGTTGGGTGTTTGTGCGTGCGCGGTCGCGCACGTTTGCGTAAATTAGTGTGGGTGTGTGCTCGT